TTCTAAGGTCGAGTCTACAACTTGTGTAAGAGAAGAGTACCACTATTTAAGAAAATTTTAAACATGGAGGGCATATAATCTGCCATTTATGGTACTCTTGTTGTTATGTAATAAAATTTGTTTTCTATTGCCAAGGCCACCCCACCCCCAATAAAATATTAGAAATTGATTCAAAATTGTTTCATTAAATTGCATTTTTTAATTGAATACTTGTGCAAAAGTACTGTTTATCTCTCTCTCTCTCTCTCTCTCTCTCTCTCTCTCTCTCTCTCTCTCTATCTATATATATATATATATATATATATATATATATATATATATATATATATATATATATATATATATATATATATATGTGTGTGTGTGTGTGTGTGTGTGTTTGTGTAGTTTAATTGGTTGTGTTAATTTTAAATTCTCATTTATTTTTATTTCCTTATGTTATTATGATAAATTTGTTCACTAGTTTGGAAGCTGCCTCACTTAGGGATCAGCATTAGGAGGTTAGTGATAGGACTGGTTGGCCTGTTGCCCAGATAATCTTATGGGACATCATGCTACACATCTGCAGTATGATGCCCCAGTGCTAGACATCACCATAAACAGCCACACTGCAGTCATCATGCAATATGACTGAAAAATTGTTAAAGCTACGCAAAAAATCCAAATCACAACACCGGATTTGACATTTTTTTAAGCAAATTCAGTTCAGTTCTTTTTAGCCTGATACATATGCAGTAGCTTGTTTGTATTGCATCAGTTGGTGCCCCAGATTTTAAAGTTATTTTCAGCTTTGTTGTAAACAATTTTTACTTTTTATATTATTGAATTTTACAGTAAGAATCGTTCAGTTCAATTCAATTTGTTCATGACTATGGGATAATTGACGTGTAAGGTTACTGCACCTCTCAAAGTGATCATGTGATCCTATCACATGGTCCTTTTGAATTGTAATTAGAGTGACATTTTATAGTTTATTTTGGTCAGTCATAATTAATACCTTTAGAGCTGAAAGGTATTGTTATTTTATTGCCAGTTTGATATGAATTTTTCTGTTTTTCTATTGTTCGGAATAACAATTTATTCTCCCTGGAAACCACTTCTGCTCATTCAAAGACATTTATTGGAAATTATTTGAAATTTTAAAGTGATTCAACAAAGAACTTTTAACACAACAACACAAGAGATTATAGAAGATATTATCATCTTCCATCTTGGAACTTAATTGGGATTCAAACCTGTGATTCACTTCAGATTTTTATTGTTGGGCCTTATATTCATTAATTCTAGGAATAATTTTGGATTACATACATGAACCATAAATCCTTTTTCATATTTGTACCTTGTGTTTCTAGGAAATAAATTATTTGTTAAATTTTACAAAGCTTGTTTTGTTACTTCACTCTTTTCTTTGTTACTTTTGTATGAGACTAAGCTCATATAATATAATTAATTAAAATGTAATAATATAAATTCAATAAACAGATAACTATTATTGCAAAACTAGTATTTAACTACCCTGATTGCTTTCAACTCTTAATGAGTCTTTTTCAAAGGCATATACAAAATATAGACAAGCCAAACAAATGAAACAGAAAAACCATAGTGTTTGCAATATTTTACATGGCTGTTTTTACAGGAATTAAACCTTTTAAATTTATTGTTTCAGAGTTCATTTATGCTTGTTGCGGGTACTGGAAAATATTTGTATTGACCTAGAAATTTGAGCCATAATGGCATCTGTTATTTTATATACATTGTTGTAAGTGAAAATTATATCATGGATATTTCATTTTACAGTAGTAATTCAGGGCTATTAGAGAATTATTTAAAAAAAAATGTGCTGGCTTTAAATGATATCTATTTGTGCATGGAAGTCTTTTTCTAGCCTAGGCATGGTTCAACCACTTGATTTTAATGTAAGGCTACATGTCCAGTAAGATTCCTTTTCTTTCATGGTTTCAGAATTCAGTTGGGATTACAAACAAAAGCACCAAGTGTGGCCAGGGTTGGAAAAATGGTCTACAACTGGGATTCTGTACAGCTTCTTTGTCATTCAATCTATGAAGGCTGATCCCTTTCTAGCACAGTGACTAGAGAAATACTAAACATACATGGTCCAAACAAAACGTGCAAAACAGAATGTAATTTATCTCATCACATGTAAAATCTTTAACCTTCAGTATGTTGGAGAAACTGAAAAGCTTTATGAAAGGATCAACCTTCATAAAGTCAAAAGAACTCAAGACTAGTTAATAGTTTTGCACTATTCATTGTCAGTTTATTGCATTTATCTTAATCCTTGACATTTGTGATCCCATTCTTTGTAGGTGTTTTTGTGCCTACAGTTGTTGTTGGAGTTGTTGGGATTGGACATGTACCAGGGATTGTGGAAGCTTGGAAACAAAAAGAGTATAACATTCAGAGTATCATTACGTGAGCATTATTTAGTAATTTTCATGTTTTATTTTGTCCGCTTGACATTCTGTCTCATAAGCTTGATTCAGGTTGATATTATATCTGATAAGCTTGATTCAGGTTGACATTATATCTGATAAGCTTGATTCAGGTTGATATTATATCTGATAAGCTTGATTCAGGTTGATATTATATCTGATAAGCTTGATTCAGGTTGATATTATATCTGATAAGCTTGATTCAGGTTGATATTATATCTGATAAGCTTGATTCAGGTTGATATTATATCTGATAAGCTTGATTCAGGTTGATATTATATCTGATAAGCTTGATTCAGGTTGATATTATATCTGATAAGCTTGATTCAGGTTGATATTATATCTGAAAAGCTTGATTCAGGTTGATATTATATCTGAAAAGCTTGATTCAGGTTGACATTATATCTGATAAGCTTGATTCAGGTTGATATTATATCTGATAAGCTTGATTCAGGTTGATATTATATCTGATAAGCTTGATTCAGGATGATATTATATCTGATAAGCTTGATTCAGGTTGATATTATATCTGATAAGCTTGATTCAGGTTGATATTATATCTGATAAGCTTGATTCAGGTTGATATTATATCAGATAAGCTTGATTCAGGTTGATATTATATCTGATAAGCTTGATTCAGGTTGATATTATATCTGATAAGCTTGATTCAGGTTGATATTATATCTGATAAGCTTGATTCAGGTTGATATTATATCTGATAAGCTTGATTCAGGTTGATATTATATCTGATAAGCTTGATTCAGGTTGATATTATATCTGATAAGCTTGATTCAGGATGACATTATATCTGATAAGCTTGATTCAGGTTGATATTATATCTGATACGCTTGATTCAGGTTGATATTATATCTGATACGCTTGATTCAGATTGATATTATATCTGATAAGCTTGATTCAAGTTGATATTATATCTGATAAGCTTGATTCAGGTTGATATTATATCTGATAAGCTTGGTTCAGGTTGATATTATATCTGATAAGCTTGATTCAGGTTGATATTATATCTGATAAGCTTGGTTCAGGTTGATATTATATCTGATAAGCTTGATTCAGGTTGATATTATATCTGATAAACTTGATTCAGGTTGATATTATATCTGATAAGCTTGATTCAGGTTGATATTATATCTGATAAGCTTGGTTCAGGTTGATATTATATCTGATAAGCTTGATTCAGGTTGATATTATATCTGAAAAGCTTGATTCAGGTTGATATTATATCTGATAAGCTTGATTCAGGTTGATATTATATCTGATAAGTTTGATTCAGGTTGATATTATATCTGATAAGCTTGATTCAGGTTGATATTATATCTGATAAGCTTGGTTCAGGTTGATATTATATCTGATAAGCTTGATTCAGGTTGATATTATATCTGATAAGCTTGATTCAGGTTGATATTCAGTTGGAGAGTATGGTAACTTTACAATGCCTCAAAATAGAACTATATGCAAGATAGTCTAGTTTAAATAACTTTGTACTAAATTGTCTCTTGATAACTATATTACCTTATTCTTTTCCTATTGCTGCAGTGTAAGGTCTTTTACAAAGTCTGTAGACACGTTTCAGAACTGGATGTACAGTTGAGTACCAACTGCATTTTTAAAAAGTACTTCATGATGATAAATAAGTTTGTTTCCATGATATGTCTTTCCAATTTCATATCATACTGTTTTGAAAATCCTGCAGGCCTATTAAGTTTTGTAAAACCTGCATGTCTATTAGGTTTGAAACATCCTTCTTGCCTATTAGGTTTTGAAACATCCTTCTTGCCTATTAGGTTTTGAAACATCCTTCTTGCCTATTAGGTTTTGAAATATCCTGAGAGCCTATTAGGTTTTGAGAAGCTTGAAAGCCTATTAGGTTTTGAGAAGCCTGAATGCACCTATTAGGTTTTGAGAAGCATGCAAGCCTTTTAAGTTTTGAAACAACCTGCATGCCTGTTACTGGTTTTGAAACGTGTTGCTTGCCTAGAAAGTTTTGAAACATCCTGTTTGCCTATTAGGTTTTGAAACAGCCTGCATGCCTATTAGGTTTTGAAACAACTAGTATATGCCTGTTGAGTTTTGAAAGAAATCTAAAAAAAGTGATATGTTTTCCATATGTATCTGAATGACACATTAGGAAAAGTTTATATCCTGATCAAGGTTCATAGTAAACTATGATGTACTTATGAAGATTAGGCTGTGATGAGCATGACATTAGTCCTTCTGTGACCACAGCTTTTCAAACTATATAATAAATTTCATGCTGATTGTTGTTGAATTTAAGATGATTATTGATAAGGTTTTGTAAACAAAATCTTTTCCTTTGGCTGCTAAATGTCAAAAGGCATCTCTGGAGGTTTGCATATCAAGTAAATCAAAGGATATCCTTAGGAATCTGTGCATGTGTGTGTCTGTGTGATTTGGATTTCTAATGCAAATTTAATTTTAGGATATCTTTCAGATATAATTTCTTTGAGATGCCTTTTAAGCACTGCAAGAAATGTAATCTTGATTTACTGGACATATAAAATTTCTAGAGACCACTATGGTTGCCTAAGTGGTTAGAGTGTCTGCCTCTGATGCAGGAGGTCATGGGTTCAAACTCCAGCCAAGTCATACCAAAGACTTATAAAAATGGCATCGTACTTGCAGCTCCCTTCCTAGACCCTCAGTATTGAGGTTAGTGTTGGTTCAGGATATTGTTTCTGAGTGGGACATGATGCGGTATGATGCACTAGTGCTAGACATCACTACAAAACTGCCCCACTGCAGACATTGTAGCTTAATGTGACTAAATGTTTTTAAAAAGTTGCATTAGAAATCCAAATCACACACACAGAGCTTCATAATAATGTCATTTGATTTACTTGATATGCAAAATTGCTAGTCGCCTCTTGATTTGATTTACAAGCTCCTAGAGATGTCATTTGATTTACTTGACATAAGATTCTTAGAGATGCCGTTTGATTTATTTGACATATAAGATTCTTAGAGATGCATTTTGATTTTTTTTTACAAATAAGATTCTTAGAGCTGCCCTATGATCTATTTGACATATAAGATTCTTTGAGATGCCTTTCGATTTACTTGACATTGACACGTGCTTGAGCTACACACATATCCTAGATATGCCCTTTGATTTATTTGACATACACACTCTAAAGATGCTTTTTGATTTAATTTTTACTTGAGATTCTCTTTAGTCTAGTTATTATTTGACTTGCACACTTCCTAGACATGCCTTTTGATTACTGAAGATTTTATAATTATATTTTGTAAAGCAGCATGACTTCTGCACATACTGCCTTTCATTCATAGATTTTAATCCTTTTCCTTTCAGTGTGCCAAAGAAAAGCAAGAGATCGTTTTGGAAAAATTGCATCACGGTAGGATTCATTGGACTTGCTTCATATGGATGTTTCCAAATCTACAAACTGACTCGGAAATAGATTTAGGTAACCAAGAATGAATTAAATAATCATGTAAAGTGAATTGTGATTCTTGTATGATTATTTTATTATATTTGCCCATTTCTAAGCTGAATAAAAAAAGAGTTTGACTTGCACAGGATCAATCTAATTGTTGCTATTGTTTATCTTTGGAAAATGACATGTGGTTTGATATAAATTTCCATCCTTAAATCTTGTTACTTTTGGTGAAAAATAGGACAGATTTTATGAAAATGATCATCAAAAAACTAATTAGAATGGATTTCCATGAATCTCTCATCCTTAATTGGTATTTAAATGAGGATATAAAATGGGGTTTTTTTTGGCTTTAAAAAAAATTGTTTTAAAGTTTTATATGTAATGCAGATGGTTATAAAGAAAGGGAAATTTATGTAATAATTTACTTAAAACATTGGTTTTCCTGTTTATAATTGTCTCATTTCTTTGATTATATGCAGCATTCCCATGCCCTTATAGTTTTAAGGAGGTCCTGATATCCATCTGGAATTTTAATGCATTAAAAATATAATGGAAACCTCCTTGAAAATATACTTTTATGTCATAGTTTGTATTAAAAAGCTTAACTAAAAATTGTTTGAGAAAAATACATTATTTTTCCACTGCAGTTTTACATTGAATGATTTAGCAATGATCAACATATGTCAATAGCCATGGTCGAGTCTGATAACTAAGAGACTTTTGCACACATTCCTTCAACTGCAAAATTGTCTCTAATCAAAGTATCAGACATGACAAATGACTCCTGACAGTTTTAATTTTCTCTTTAAAATCTAAAAACACTGGAAAATAAAATCATTTTGGTGTAAAAACCATGTTTATCTATACAGGATTTCATCAAAGTACCTTATGTAAGACTTTTTGTAATATGACAATCAGATCAGATGAGTGCCAGAGGGGAGTTGTGGGTTGCAGTGCTATTTTGAATTATATCTAGTAATGTCAGATTGTTTCCACATGAAAGCAAATGTCATAGGCATTCAGAATTTCCTTGTTTCTGTACAGTCAAATATATGTAACTCTCAGAAAGAGACTAATCATATTAATATTTCTCAATTTAGCAAGTGAACATCCAAATATCCAGAGAATATTATCTAATGATAAATGAAAACTTTGAAAATAATATCAAGTGATGTTTTTATCATCTAATAAATATCTGCAATTTTTAATATTAAATTTTGTTCCTGTAACTTTTGAAAGGAACTTTTCATAAAAATATTTTGGCATTCAGTTCATTTGTCTTAGAGTATTACTTACATTAGTGATGATAATAACAATTCAGGGCATGAGAATAATTCAGACTGGTTCTAGGCCACTATTTACATTTGAGGTTTAGCTTTTGCATGCAACATCTAGGCCAGAGATGTTCCAATGATATCATGAAGTGTCATACAAGCAAAGATGGATATAAAGGGATAGTCTGCTACACTGGCTAGATTATCTGTATTGGTCTCTATGTAATATAGTATGCCTTAGATATGATATCATGGTGTTCAGTATCATGGTCTACCAGACATCAGAATTACAACAGACCTATCATCTTTAGAATGTTGGCACTGCTACCTACAATGGTTTAGAAAACATTGAATTAATTATGCAACTTACCATTGAATGATATTATAAAACATGGTGTCAATCAGCCAAAGTATATCATAATTTGTATTTATTTATGAAACTCAGAAAAGTCATCTGCAATAGCCATTCATTTAACTTTCCGTATTGTGATTGCTTTAAATACCTGACAACTGCACAACTTGCAAAGTGTTCAGTCTGCTAAAGAAATGTTTCAATCTGCCATTTTAGGACTTAACAGTATCTTCTAATTGACAGGATTTATTCAATTATTTCTTGGCCCGATAGGAATGGAAAATAGATATCTCACAAGGCATTGAGACAGTATTATAATCAACACACCAAGTGTTTTGAAAAGTTATCAATATTCCATTTCATGTGCATGATTCAAGGCTGTATTAAATGTAATGTTTGCAGATTGTTTAGAACTGGTAAATAAGTTATTTCATATGAGACAGGGTGATATTTAGTTCTTTTGATTAATTTAAAACTATTACATTTTTGGGCACATAAAATGTTGTTAAGATATAAAAAATAGTATGATGGCTGCTTGTAAAGTGAAATCAAATTAAAATTGCCAGTAGTCTGTCAAACATCCTAGTTTTACACTGAATTCATGAGTTTCCACAGAGATGTATACTTGCACATATGAATAACGAAATATGTATAACGACAGTGTTTTAACTTTTGCTCATTTGAATATGTTAAATTACAAACACTTTGAGGAGGATGAGTCTGCCATTTTTAGTAACTGTTGCTTTCTTCTAAAAATCTCCAAAGAAATAACTTTGGAAATTTTAAGGTGTTAGGGTGAACATGAAAATTTATTTGGTTTTAAACTGTTGCCAAGACATATTGTCTGTAAGATTTGCAAAGTTTCTAAATGCTGCATTGTAAACAACAGTGTGTTTCTAATATGTATGTATGTATATATTTTTATTAAGTATATCTGTATGTGTATATATTTATGATATAGTTAGCCATGGTCATTAGTATTGTTTAATTCTGCATTTGGCTATCACATTTACACCCTGGTTTCATATAGGTTATCCTTGTGACTTTTGTTTTAAAACACCAGGAATGTGAACCCTGTATCTGTCCATCCATCTGTTCATTCATTACTATGTTATCATATATCCTATCACTGGGGTTGAAGTTCACAAAACTTTGACCATCTTTGAGGTGTTATTATTGGCTCCCACACATGGGGCATCTGGAAGTTGGTCAGATGTACAAAACATTAACCATCTGTGAGAGGGGTGTTGTTAGTTCCCACACATGTGGGATCTGGAGAGGTTGAAGGTCAGATGTACAAAACATTAATCGTCTGTGAGAAGATGTTGTTAGATACCACACATGGGGGATCTGGAAGAGGTTAAAGGTCAGATGTACAAAAATGTTATAATGACATTTACAATTTTTTTCAGCCATGTTCTTTTTCAAAGTCTTTACCGGTTTGTGTAAGTCATTGTTTTGGCTACCAGTACCTTCACAAACCAACCATACATAAAAAACAGGGGCATAATATGGCAACTTGCTGCTTTAACAAGGTCCACTTTTCACTTTTTTAAGCCTTTTCAAAATACTTATCAAATTAATATTTATTCAAACCCATCACTAATGCTTGGATATTTCAATAAAATTATAGAGCAATATGTATCATTTTATATAACAAACTGCAACAACACCAATAAGAATATTAAGGTTTATATATCTAAATGTTCATGTATTTTATCTCCAAAGCAACTAAAACAAATTGATTCAGAGTAAACGAAAAAAGGAGAAACTGAGAAATCCTGCATATGTTGTATAAATGTCACAAAATCCTTTTTGAGTTAGCCAATGTTTGATGGAACTTTGTATATATTTTGACCCTAATCAGATAAATCACTGGTCTGGCCAGTCTTGTAGGGTTATGGATATTTTGTCTTGAATGCAATGCAAGACTAATGCTGTGAATGAGTTGTACAGATTCATAGGATCATCTCACATTTATCTCCCTTTATTTTAGCAGGCGTTGCAGAGTTCAGCTTAATGCAATATAATACAGAATTTTATGAATGCAGCATCTTGTACAGTTTTAAGTGGGTTGCTGTAAAAAACTCAAAATACATTAAGTCATCACTTGAAGATATGCATGTTGCTGAATCATTATAATATTTTCAAAAGAATTTTGCCTTGCTTTGCAATAGACATATCTCAATTATGGGGTTGAATGTGGAAGGGAGAGGTGATCAATTCATCACTAGTCAAGTTCTGCATTGATTTTGTTTGTAGTATAATGATCTTATAAGACCTTATAATGGCATCAGTTACTGTTAAGGGCAAATTACAATGCAAGTTTTGCGTTCTTTTTTAAAATTATCAATTAAAAATAATTATTTTGTACTGATATATTTTCATTTCTAAATGTGTACAGGCATCAAACATTTCACATGCTATATGTAAACAAGTTTTAAATAAACCAGTGTTAGTCGGTCAGTGCCAATCTCGTATCAAACATGCATGATAGCCGAGTCATGAAGACCAGAAGGATGAACAACAGCTAGAATGCATATCAAACAAGTGTCCACAAAC